ATGCCCATCTTTAATCATTAGAGTGACACTGCCTAGCCTACATAGTTTAGGTTCAACTATCATAATATAATTATATGACAATCATGTAAACATAAACCTGAAAAAGTATCATTATAAAGAATTTTAGTCTGAAGTCAGCAGTATGATAAAAAATTCTCCTAAGTTTTATATTTTAGGAAGTTTGTGCAGACTGGAAATGTAAATGTATTTAAATGAGAAGTCAACCGGGGATTTAGCTCAGTGATGCCTCTCAAGCACAAGATCCCATGTTCAATCCCCGGTACCAAAAAAAAGAAAGAAAGAAAGAAAAAGTATTAAATGAGAAATAAGTGATAATTAGCTTCACAGCTACATGGAAATCTTTACATACTAACTTAATTCTTTCTCTTAAGGTGAAATTTAGATTTATATACAAGTGTATCTTGTCTATATAATAACAAAATGTTTAGTCAAAGCCAATAGATATATGTCAAATTTTAAATGGCGGGATTGAATTAAACCAAATTCAAAGAGCAGAGATGTGGTGCTGGGCATGGTGGCACATACCTGTAATCCCAGTACTTGTGAGGCTGAGGCACAAGGATCACCAAGAGTTTGAGGCCAGCCTGAACTACATAGTGAGATCCTGTCTCAAAAAGCAACAGCAAAAAACAAAGCAGAGATGCCAAAAATTCTGATCATTTTATATGTTTAAGTTCTAGATGCAATACATATTGTATAAAAGAGAACACTTATTGGTTACTTTGTATGCATTAAATTTATATAATCTTAATTCTATAAGTTTAACATTAAAGCTAGACTCACAGCATATTTTGTCTTTAGGTGTGCTGTATATATCTCTCTAGTCCTGATACATAGCAAGCCCATGTTTCAAAAAACAAAAATAAAAAAAAAAATCTCTAGTCCCAGATATATACCAGGTGTGCTATAACCTAAGACAGTGGTGGCAAATCTATGGCACACATGCTGCAGCCAGCTGTTTGTTATCATTGATAGCTCTAATAGGTTCACCATCACTGACCTAAGATAATAGTTATGAATTTAACCAGTTATAAACAGATTATTGAAAAAATTTTACCACAAGCCAACATTTACATAATTTTTAACTCTTAAAACTCAGTTTAGGGCTGGGGATTTAGCTCAGTGGTTTCGCCACCTGCTGCGCAAGCGCAAGGACCCAAGTTCGATCCCCGGTACCAAAAACAAAAACTCAGTTTAAGTAATCAGAAGTCTAACAACAAAAACCACAAGAAATTATCTTTTTTTTTTTTTTGGTACCGAGGATCAAACTCGGGAACTTGAGCTTGCAAGGCAGGCGCCGGAAGGAAATTATCTTTTTTTTTTTTGGTACCGGGGATCGAACTTGGGTCCCTTGGCTTGCGAGGCAAGTGGCAGAACCACTGGGCTAAATCCCCAGCCCAGAAGGAAATTATCTTGATAAAACAAAAAAACCTTAGTTTTTTAATCTAGTTTTTATAAGTTTAATCAATAGCATTTAGAAGGGGTTGAGACAGGATCTTGATATGTAGTTCAAACTGGCCTTGGACTCACTATGTAGGCTAGGCTGCCCTCACATTCACAGCAATCCTCCTGCCTCAGCTTCCCAAGTGCTTGGATTACAGGTGTGCACCACCATGCCCAGCAGTAACCAATAGCATTTTAATCTTAAAAAAAAAAAAATACCTCATTGCTTTAGACGTAGAAAACTTTTTAAAAACATTCATTGGTATATTTTAGGCATACAAAATGATAACACTTGGGCCAGGGATTTAGCTCACTGGTTTTGCTGCCTGCCTCGCAAGCACAAGGTCCCAAGTTTGATTCCCGGCACCAAAAAATAAAAAATAAATAAGATAACACTCATCATAGGGAATTTGCATCTGTACATGGTGTATCCCGCCCCCTTTTTCCCATCCTCCCTCCCTTCAAGCCCCCTCCCCTCCCTATGTACAAAAGCTTTGTTTCCATTTTTTCCTTCTATTTTCAATTTTTTTGACCCTCATTTCCTTTTCCCCTCCTTCCTCCCTTGTTCCCCTTCCTATGAAGATTTTCTTCACATTTCCCAGTATCTATTATACATTTTAGTCATTATTTCCACTTTCAGTTTCTCACACCAGAGAAACAATGCAATATTTAAACATGTATGTTCGATTTATTTCACTTAAAAGTATGGTCTCAAGATCCATCCATTTAGCTATAAATGTCTGAAGCTCACCCTTCTTTATGGTGGAGTAGTACTGCATTGTATAGAAAAAAGACATCTTTATCCATTTGTTAGTTGATGGACATTTGGGCTATTTCCAAGAATTTTTTTTTTTTTTTTGTACCAAGGATTGAACTTGGGACCTTGCACTTGCAAGGCAGGCGGCAGCACCACTAAACTAAATTCCCAGCCCCTTCCAAGATTTAACTATTACAAACTGTGCCACTGTAAACATGGGTATGCATATATCACTGTGGTATGATGCTTTTAATTCTTTCGGGAAGATACCAAGAAGAGGAATAGCTGGATCAAATGGAACTTCTAATTTTAGTTTTTCGAGAAATCTCCACACTGATTTCCACAGTGGTTGCACCAGTCTACACTCTCACCAACAGTGGAAAAGGCTTCCTTTTGCCCCACACCCCCTCCAGCATTTGTTATTGGTTGATTTCTAGATAGCAGCCATTCTTTCTGGAGTGAGACGGAATCTCAGCATTGTTTTCATTTGCATGTTTTCATTTGGACTAATGATGTTGAACATTTTTCATATATTTATTTGCTGTTTCTACTTATTCATCTGAGAAGTGTCTTTTCATCTCAGATGCCCATTTTTGGACTGTGTCTTTAAATTTGGGGAAGGTCTGATTTTTTTGAGTTCTTTATATATTCTAGATAATAGTCCTTTGTCTGATGAATAGCTGGTAAAAGAATTTTTCCCATGCTGTGGGTTGTCTCTTCACTCTGTTGGTGGTTTCTCTTGCTGTGCAAAAGCTTTTTAATAAGATGAAGTCCCAGTTGTTGATTCTTTGTCATATTTCCCATGTGTAGACATAGAAAACTTTATTTAATTATATCCAACTTAATTAATTTTCTTTTATAACATTAGTTAGGGTAGGACACAATAAATTTGTGGAAAACCAAAGAAGCCCCCCATCAGCAGAGAACACTGAAGCAAATTGGTTCAGGCAGCTGCTTTTTCAGGCACAGGGGATAGTTTCATCTGGTAATTCCTTAGGCCCAGTGGCCCCCCACTTAGGGAAAATTGTAATATAGAATGATACATTGAAATTTTAACTTAGTAAACTTAAGAAAGCAATCTTAGCTGGCCATGGTGGTATGTACCTGTAATCCAGGCACTCAGGAGGCTGAGGCAAGAGGATCTCTGAGTTTGAGCCCAGCCTGAGGTACATAGTGAGTTCAAGGCCAGCCTGAACTACATAACAAGACCCTGTCCCAAAAAAACAAAAACACAGAAATGTTTTCATAAGTTATTAGTATGTAAAAGTAAGATTGCTTTTCTTTTCTTTTCTTTTCTTTTTTGGTACCAGGGATCAAACTCAGGGCCTCATGTTTGCCAGGCAAGCGTTGTGCCACTGAGCTACATCCCTGGGCCTTAATCAGCATTTTTTAAGTGTAAGTCATAACAATGCTTTCTTTAATACTATAAGCTACTCTGAGTACTTTTTTCCCCCCGTTAATATCACAGACTTATAACCAGTAACAGTGAGAAGGGGGAAATAGGAGGACAACTGGCAGGAATTTGGGTCTTTGTCAAACTTGGGCACAACTTTCTTTTCTTCCTCTTCTTCAGTCAGCAGCAGTGCCTCTTGTTTTCCATACTTTTATATGTGAGCACTCATTTTTCAAAGTACTTGGGAGCCCTAACTGCTAAAAAGGAGGGGAAAAAATCCCCCCAAGACTGTACAATAGAGGTTTGCAGAGAGAGAGAGAGAGAGAGAGAGAGAGAGAGAGAGAGAGAGAGAGAGGGAAATATGCTACGCTTCAGAGAACAAGGGTTTGGGAGAAGTGGAGAACAAAAAAAAAAGCCTTTGGCTGAGACTTACCAGAGTTGTTCCTTTGATGCCTCCTTTACCTCCTGCTACTGGCTCACCAAGAGAAGATGTCACAGGACAGGGTCTGAGGAGGTTTCCAAAGCAGAGATAAGAAACTTAAACCTACTGTATCTGGGAATAAGTTTGTAGGTTCACTGACTCCCATTGTGTAAAAAAGAATTTTCAGGACTAGTTATTAAGGGGTATAAAGGGATTTATTAGGCAGAAATTTATTTTTTATTATAATTTAAAATTTTTTATTAGTACATATTTGTAGTACATAATGATTACATTTGTTGTGGAGGAATTTGTACATGTACATAACATGTCTTAATTCTTTTGTCATCTCCTTCCCCTCCCATCCCTCCTTGCTCTCTAATTCGTTTCCCTTCTCATTATTAGGCAGAAATTTTAAAATACACACTCATAGAAATAGAGTTCAAGGCCTCAAAAGAGAGAGGTGCCACCTATTGTTTTATTAGGGTCATTATTTCCTAGAAGTATAATATAATAACTTCTATAAATATAATTTATTCCAAAGTCATAAAAATGGGCAATGTGGTACTTTTCAGGCTCTTCCTTAGAGATTTCGATTCCAGAGGTGTCTCAGGACTGCCCAGTAAGGTTCACAAGGAGGCAGCAGAGATTCTACACCCTCTTCCGGGACAGTTTCATTTGAACAACCCTATTTATTTCACTTGTTTTGGTATAAAAAAAAGTTTGAAAGCTGGGTGTGGTGGCACTTGCCTATAATCCCAGCACTTCGGAGGGTGAGGCAGGAGGATTGCTGCAAGTTCAAGTCTAGTTTAAGTTACAGAGCAAGACACTGTCTCAAAAAAAAAAAAAAAAAGGTTTGAAATATTGTCTGGTTTATGCACTTCTGAGCCATTGCAAGTTTCTCTTGTGATGATTTGTGTGATCCATTGTCCTTCGTAATGTTAACTTTACCCTTCTTTATTTGACAGACAGATGTGTTGGTCCTGAGCTGTGATCTGATAACAGATGTTGCCTTACATGAGGTTGTGGACCTGTTCAGAGTTTATGATGCATCACTCTCCATATTAATGAGAAAAGGCCAAGAGAGCTTAGAGCCAGTTCCAGGTCAAAAGGGGAAAAAGAAAACAGGTAAAGAAGATTGGAGTTTGAAATATTTGTTTGGTTGGCTTTATAATTATTATTCATGCTTTCACTTAAGAAATATTTATTGAGAACCTGGGTATTTACTGTAGATACTATGATAGGAGTTAATGTCAAAGTTAAATAAGACAGTCTTGGACTTGAAAATGCCTGTGCTATTAATTAGATTCTGGAATGTCTTTTTGTTTGTGGAGAGGAACATTCAGAACTATTTGCATTCTATTTAAGACTCAAGTAACTGGATGCATGTACACTTTCCCTCAGTGTTTGTAGGGGATTGGTTCCAGAGTACATGAAGACAAGCATTTGGGTATGTATGCATGGACACACACAGGTGCACACATAGTGATAACTAAAATCATGGACATTGGCCGGGGGGTTAGCTCAGTGGTTCCGCCACCTGCTTCGCAAGCGTAAGGACCCAAGTTCAATCCCCGGTAACAAAAAAAAAAAATCATGGACACTCATTCCCCAATATAAATGGTATAATATTTTCATATAACCTATACACATCTCCCTTATACTTTAAATTATCTATAGGTTATTATAATACCTGATACAATGTAAATGCTATGTAAATAGTTACTACTGTATCTTTGGGGGGAATAATTACAGGTATGTTCAGCGCAAACACAATTTTTTTGAAAATATTTTTAACCTGTAGTTAATTCAGTCCCTAGATATAGAACCTGTGATTACAAAGGATCAACTATATCTAGAAACAAAAAAGTCTAATTTAAAAAAAGATTTTTTTTAAATTTAAACTTTTATTACCAATTTAGATAGCTTAAGCTATTAAAATTACTATTACAAATTTAGTGTATTTAGTTCTTTTGAATCCTAAATAGCCAATAAACATGATACTTACTAAAATAAAACCTTTTTAAGACCATGCTTTTTATGGGTTTTAGTTTTTCCTGGAATGGTGTGTTTTTCCCTGAATTTTTTCCCAGAATGATGTGTTCTTTAGGTTTTGCTTAGCCTGTGTTATGTAACCCATTATCTTGTCATTGTTATATATTGGCATAGTCTGTTATAATTGTTAGAAGCTATGTATGGCATATTAATATCCTACTATAATTAATAGAACCACTTAGAACTTTCATTTGAATAACCCATCTTGTATTTTTAGCTCTTTTTTTAGGACATTTGGGTAACTTATAATTTTGTTCATTTTGTTTTTGTGGTGCTGGGAATTGAAACCAAGACCAGTGCGTGCTAGGCAAGCAGTGTATCACTGCCAGTGCGTGCTAGGCAAGCAGTGTATCACTGAGCTACATCCTATCCTTGTAATTTTGGACTTCAACAATTAAACTTGTTTCTAGTTACTTTTTGTGTTTAGGTAATCATTCATGCAGATTAATTGTTGGATACTTTCAAATTATTATGTAATGATACTCATGCTGATCAGTCCTCTTGTTCTTGATATAGTTTCTACTTGTTTGTTTGTTTTGAGACAGGTTCTTGGCTATGTAGTTCAGCCTAGCTTTGAACTCAATATGTAACCAAGGCCGGCCTCAAACTCATGGTGAGTGCTAGAATTATAGGTGTGGGGCTGGGGATTTAGCTCAGTGGTTTCAGTGGTTTCATCGCCTGCTGTGCAAGCATAAGGACTCATCTCTGGTACCAAAAAAAAAAAAAAAAAAGAATTATAGGTGTGTACCACCACCAAAAATCTGTAATTCTTTTGCTTCAGTTTCCTGTATTTCTTTCAAAACTGTACTGCAAAAAAAGAAATCTTTTATTTCTTCAACTTCTGTTTTCTCCTCTCAATCCCCATTCCCCCATTCCACTCCTGTTTTTTTTAAACTCTTTGCATACTCAAAACTGAAGTTTTCATGCTTAAGAGAAAATGTACTAGAGCCAGGAATTTAGCTCAGTGGTTCCGCCGCCTGCCCCATAAGCGCAAGGACCCAAGTTTGATCCCCAGTACCAAAAAAAAGAGAAAATGTACTAAATGAAGTCTAAATAATTTAGAATTCATAAATCATAGTGTAATGTACTGGGTACAATAATGGGATCACGGGCCGGGGATTTAGCTCAGTGGTTTCGCCGCCTGCTGCGCAAGTGCAAGGACCTAAGTTTGATCCCCAGTACCAAAAACAAACAAACAAACAATAATGGGATCATGTACAAAATACAGGGAGGAATTCAATGTCTCACTCTGTTACAGAGAAATTTATTTAAGGTAAGATATTTGATAAGACCGGGTAAGTAGTTTACTTATGTGAAATCATGGTAGTTTGATATGAAATCACATCCCTAATTTAAAAGTATATTAAATTTTTTTCTTTTTTTTTTTTTTTTGGTACCAGGGATCGAACTCGGGTCTTTGCGCTTGCGAGGCAGGTGGTGGAACCATTGAGCTAAATCCCCGGCCCAAGTATATTAAATTTTAATACAGTCATTTAAGACATACTGTATGTAAAATCTGTGGTTAAGTCTTACATGGTAAACAAAGATAATCAAGCATTGTTCTCAAGCTAAAAGCCAATGAGCAGGTTCAGGTACTGTAGTTGTGTTATTTAATTTTTTTGTACGTTTATTGCCGAAGAACATTTTGTGGATAGTTGCTGAAGATCACATTTAGTAGTGAGTAGAACCAGAACCCAAATCCATGCCTTCTGACTCCATAGCTTGTGCTATTTCTTCTTTTTTACTTACTTTAGTATTTATTTTTTGAGACAGGGTCTTGCTGTGTAATTCAGCCTAGCCTTAAGTTCACTATGTATAGTCCAGGCTGGCCTTGAACTCAAGGCGATCCTCCTGCCTTAGCATCCTAAGTGCTGGGATTACAGTCATGTGCCATCACACTTGACTTATTTTTATTTTTAATGTGGTGTTGGGGATCCATCGCAGGGACTCACATGCTGAGCACGTGCTCCACCACACTGTGCCACATCCCCAGCCTTTGTTTCCTTTTATCAGAGTTATATGCCCATAATTTAAAGAATGAAACAACTATACAGGATGTATTATAATAAATACCAGTTCCTCACCCTTTTTATCCTCACACCAATCAGGCAGCTGTTTTCAACACTTGTAACTAATTTCTTTAGTATTTAACTTTGTATTTCCAAATAGCATACTTTTGTTTGCCATGTCTTAATTTTTTTAGTTATAGGAATTATCTATTGACTTCCTACTCCAGAAGATTTAGTTCTATTTTACCATACCCTGTATTTCTACTACACATAGGCAAACTTCCAGTCTGCTCAACGTTCTAATATAGTCATTGATACTATATTGTTCATTTACTGAATATTTAATGTTTATAATTATGACTATAAATACTATAGTATTTGTAGTAGCCTTGTAATATGTTTACTTTTCTCCCCCTCCCAATACTTTCCTATATGTTGTCATGTTTTTTGCTTATTTTGTTTGTTTGCCATGTATTTATCATTAATCCTACCCTAGCCCCTGTTATGTGAATTTCCTCTTACTGCTTTCCAACATATTACAGGTGTCCCCACAATTTCAAATTCTTGAAGATACCTCTCCTTGAGCTTTTGTAATCTGAGTTAGTTACCCTGCTGTAGAGCTGTCACATTAGGTTCATACTTCCTTATCATATCTTGAACTTCGTTTTCCATTTCCTTAGTTTATACTCATATTTTTATGGGACATATCCTGTGGTAACCTCTTGGAATACTGTTTGTAAGAAATAAACTTCTTTTGCATATCTGAAAATGTTTTTATTCTGCCCTCGTATTTTAATATTTTGGCTGGATATAAACTTCTCTTGGAAATCATGTCTCCTGAGAATTTTGTTTTGTTTTGTTTTTTTGGTACCGGGATCGAACTCAGGACCTTGCACTTGCGAGGCAGGAGCGGCACCACTGAGCTAAATCCCCAGCCGTCTCCTGAGAATTTTAAAGGGATTACTTCATTGTCTTCTGGCAATTCCACTAAGAAGTGCATCATTCTGATTCTTGATTATTTGAATGAAACCTTTCTTCTTTAGGATCTTCTTCAATGAGAACATTTAAAATCTATTTTCATAGCAATATCCACCCCTTTGTGGTGCTGGAGATCAAACCACAGTCCTCATGCATGCTAGGCACATGCTGTACCACTGACTACATCCCCAGTCCCTGCTACATCCTTAGCCTTTAAAATTATGTTTACTATAGATTTTACAGGTACTTGTCATGAAGTTGAACAAGTCTCCTTCTAGTGCTAGTTAAATAAGTATCTTTTCATAAGTATATAAATTTTATCAAATGAGGGCCGGGGATTTAGCTCAGTGGTTCTGCCACCTGCCTCATGTCCTCAGTTCGATCCCTAGTACCATAAAAAAAAATTTATCAAATGATTTCTGCATCTATTCAAGGGGTCATACATTTTTTTCTGTTTTATTTTGATAATGTGATGAGTAACAATTACAGATTTATTTGTTTATTTATTTGCAGTACAGGGCATTGAACCCAGTGAACACAGCTAAAATTCACAATCCAGTTTATTTGTTTGTTTACTTATATTTTATTTTGAGACAACATCTCATTCATTGAATTACCCAGGCTGCCTTCACATTTGCAGTCTGGCTCGGGTGTGGTGGCACATGCCTATAATCCCAGCACTTGGGAGGCTGAGGCAAGAGGATCCCAAGTTCGAGCCTAGCCTGAGCAATGGACTGATGCTAGCCTGAATTGAACTACATAGCAAGATCCTATCTCAATAGCAGACCCTATCTCAAAACAAAAACAAATTGCAATCCTCCTCCCTCAGTCTCCTGTATAGCTGAGATTACAGTTGTGTGTCATCATGCCCAGCCAAGTTTTCTAATTAAGCCGTCTTTATATACCTGGGATGAGCTTAACTTGGTCATGGTTTGTGGTGCTTTTACACATTGTATCACTTAATTTTTACTGCATAACAAAATCTCCAAACTTTAGTTGCTTAAAACAATAATCATTTACTTGGCTTGTGATTCTACCAGTTGACAGGTTGGCCTGGATGTGCCTGAGATGGCTCATCTCTGTTCA